TTAAAATATAATAATAAAAGAAAATTTGAGAAAATTATATATTTGATCAAAAGAATTATCTGGTAAAAGATAGTAGCGGAAAAAGTGATGCTTGTAGAATCTTAAGAACCTGTCATCATTGTCGTTAATACATTGCGACACAAGTCGCATTTATTAATTAGTATGCGCGAGATGCATCGTTGAAGTGATGAAATAAGAACTGCGTGGGATTAAAACCCAGAGTTTTACATAATCTAAAGATTGATATGAATCTTTAGTTTTCGCAATCACTTTCATCAAATATTTAAACATATTCACTCATGATGTAATATTTTCTTTAAAAAAATTCTCTAGCAATTAATATTGTATCTGTATATTATATTATATTTATCATTTTCTTTTTCTTTTTCTTTTTCTTAATAGTCATGAATGCAGATAAATAGATTTTAATTAATCAATTATAAACCTTGTAAATAAAATTATAAAATTACAAAAATAAAATTATAAGAAAATTACGATGTTATAAAGATAAGTTCTCGATTCGATTGATAGACGTAGAATCAAAATGATAATGGAACAAGTAACGCAATATCAAGAAATATAGGAGGGGTTCACGATAGGTTGGGATGAAATGGGACGAACCCAATGGGTCAGGAGTTAAACGACCCGCGCTGGCATTTGCTTCTTACTTTCACTCATCTCCTGAGAGCGCATCGCCCGATTTCGTAGCAGAGAAATCGATAAATCCACTTTGGCATTCGTATTACTCTCTTCCGTGTCTACTCTCGTCGATCATTTAATCCGTCGATTCCTCTAGTTTCAGAATGTCGATTAGAAAGGGAACAAACTGACGTAATCTGAACCTTATGACATAACGTTTTCCCTTAATGACATAATTGCCTCGATCGCATTGCTGCGTTTGAAATATGCGTTTTAGCGAAATATATCTTAATCATGCATTTTTATAATCGAGACAGGAATGTAACATTTGTAATTTTTCAGGCATTAGCAATGATTCTGGGATTGGCGGTGGCACAGGATCCAAATTATCATGGACGCAACTATCAGCAGGATGATGGACAACAGACTGATAGCAGACGACCTATATCTACTACGCCCATCCCGATCTTGCATTGGAACAAACAACAGGAACACGATGGAACTTATAAAACTAGGTACAATTATATTTTCTATAATTTTAAATTCAACACACAGTTGCCTTAAAAATATTTAAAAATTATTTATTAAATAAAGAATTAAATACTGCAAGGATAATACTCTAGTTACAATATTTTTGAAAAAAAATATTTTCTAACAAAAGAATTACTAAAAATAATTATATAAAATTTTATATCTCTCAAATCTCTTGTTTCTCATATATCTCGCCTTTATATATTACATGTGTGAATATATTTCGCCGATTCAACGTATTTTATGCCCTCCATATATTTATACCGCCCATTGAATATTCATTGCACGATAATTTGACGTAATCCCGAAAACACCGATGCAATACTGCACAGTTTCATTACCTGAATCTGTCTCGAATCTGCAAACTTCGGCAGCGAGCATTTTAATATTATGTAATGCGGCTCGATTTCTGAACCGTACGTTTGCGCAATCGATTATTTAACATCCTGGTAATTTGGATCTTGCAGTTACGAAACGGGCAATAACATTATCGCCGAAGAAAGCGGCTACATCAAGACCATCGGTGAAGGTGAAGACCGGGCGGAGGCGATCGTTCAGCAAGGCACCTTCTCTTACACGAGTCCCGAGGGACAGCTGATCACCATTCACTACACCGCCGATGAGACCGGCTTTCACGCGCAGGGCGATCACATTCCCACGCCACCGCCCGTTAGCGAAGAGATCCAGAAAGGCCTCGACCTCATCTACGCGGGTATTCGTCAGCAAGAGGTAAGTATACTCACGATCTTTCCTCTTCCGTCCAACCCTCACTGCCGCCAATTACTAAAAGATCCTCGGATACTATTTCCACGCTTACTTTAGTGACTATTCGAGATTTCATAAAATTCCATAAGATAGAATCTAATTAATGGTAAATTCTGATATAAAGTAATTTTACATGCAAGATTTTATTATTATTTATTTTTATTATTATTTTTATTATTATTTATTTGTTATTATTATTAATTAAGAAAATATTGCAAATTATTTACGCAATTAAATTCGCAATTTGAGTGACTAAGATAATTCTAAAATAGATATTGGCATTTAAAACTTGTGAAAGAATATGAAAATTAAAGGGTAGATATTTTAATATAAGATATAAAACTATTAAAAAAAAGATTCATTCATAATGACAGGGGAGAGAAAGAAAAAGACATAATATATAAAAGTTTATTGCTGCATTCAACATTAAAATCCATTCACAGTTTCCTGTCCTCAATTATCCCTACTTGTTTCTCTCTCGCCACTTCTTATCACCTCTGTTTATGTTCACATTCATGTTCACCTTTATGGAAAACGTTCTCCTCGATCTTATGGGAAGAAACTTCTGTTTCGCCATAGCTAGCATAGGTCACGGTTTCTACGAGCAGGATTTGTGAAAAGTCATTCAGTTATCCGTATACTATGTGAGCGCACTTGCGAAATCGTGATAGAGATCCATATCGATGAAAAGACTAAAGATCGCAACATCGTATAAATGACTTGCGCAAAGAGAAGAGAAAAGGTAGCTACTTGCTATCGCACACAGTTTTCTCTCGACTCTCATTAATCATCGTGTCACTACAACAGCTACCAGTTTTCTTCTGCTTTTACTCTCGTTGGGATAGAAAACTACAATCTTATATGCGCTGCAGGAAGCATAACATAGATAGATTCGTGCTGAGAGATTTGCGTACAATTAAAATTGCTTTATAGATCGTGATAATTAACATTCTATCACTATCGAATGAATCCATCAATCGTATTTTATATTTCTATATCTTTTCTCGCAAAGAAGAATAGCAATTTTTAAATTAAATTGCGAAATGTGAAAGGAAGAAAATATACTATTGGAAATAAAGATACTGAAATTTTTCTAAAAATACTATTGTTCTTCATATAATGATGGGAAACGTAATTCTAATGTTTGCTTGTGTGTGTGTGACATTCAAATAAACTTTATTTGATTACAGTTAAAGAATCCCTTTTGAATAAAAATTATATTTTGTATTTAATCTCTCATGAAACTAATAACAGGAATAGTTTACTAAAAAAATTTGTTTATGTTTACATTTTAGGAAGAAGATGCTCGCGCAGCAGCCCAAAAGTCGCAACAACCATTGAGCCAGCAGATCGATAGGCGGGACGACTACAACAGAAAATATCAATAGTGAGCGTCTGTCGAGCCTTCTGCGATATAGCGTATTTACAGCACTGTATCGTTATCAAGAAATAGCAATTAAGTTGTTAAGTTACATTATTCCCTCGCGCGTTACACACACAAATACGCTCACCATTATGTGTATACATTTGCAGTAAGAGACATCGCTTGATAAGTTCGTCTTCGTTCTTCCATCCTTTCACCGTTGATCATGTCGATCCTTTCTCAACATGAGACACCGGCGTACCATTAATGATTAATCTTTATTTCTTTCTCTCTTTTTCTCTCGCTGTCTCTCTCTTTTTCTCTCTTTCTCTCTCTGTAACAGAGACACCGCCGTGATTGTGCTCTTCAAATGTTGGGAATTGACATTTCTCGTGTGTCGCGATAAAGAAGGTCACGAAAGTAACTTGTACCAGCGACCTAATCCAATTGTCTTTACGTTCATTTATAGTGCTATTATTTTTATATATTTTATATGTAACAATTTTGTTTCCTCAATATGCAAACTCTTAAAATCTCGACAAATGTTTTATATTAATTTTCCTTTTTATATAATTATGCAAAAGAAATATTTTCCAAGCATCTTCTTTTCTAATATTTTAAAAAACGAAATGCTATATGTTAAGATATCCTTTACATACATATAGCATCTCGTTTTTTATATGTTATATAATTTATTTAATATTTCACATTATTCCTTCTTTTTATCTCTGGATTATCATAGAGAAATGTATTTACGAAAATATTAAATACAATTTAGAGAATTATTTATCTCTTATCGGTACAATCGCAATTAGGAACAAAAACAGAAAACAGGAATTAATATTTGATGTCAAAGAGAATCAAAAATAATTCTTTTTTTGAATAAATAAATAGACTCTGTCAGAGTCACACATTTCTACGAGTTACCGCATATTCTCATGCGTGTATAAATTTATACATGGGCATGCAGAGATATATTCAATAAATTTCCCGTGAAATAAAAAATCGTCGCAATAGCATAAACATTGGATAAGCGACCGATAAAAATTTGCGGTTGATCTCTGCTTAGGAAAAAATTAGGAAGATAAAAAAGGAGTGGAAAGATAGAAGAGAAAAGAGAGCACACTCCGAGGCCAGTGAAATTTTTTACGAGGTAGCGCGTCAAAGCCGGAGAAACTTTAAATGAAGTATGATGATCGAATAAGATGCCGATGCTTCTGGATGCACGCTGCACTGTCATTACAATTATGCGACATGTGAGATCGGTGTGTACGTTCCGCGATTGCACTGTATGACGCATGATATGTGTGATAAATATTTTTATACTTACAACGCGATGCACGATAATACCGTTCTTTTTGAAATTGGATAAGTATTATAAATAAATAAATAAAATTATTGGCGTTTATTTAAAAAGAATTATGACAAATTAATAAAAAATATAGATTATAAAGACAATTTTATAAAGAATTTTATAAAGAAATAGATTTTCATAAAGTAAGTAAGTATCTTTCTCCAAGAAGAAATTCTAAATAAATTGATGAAAATATTTGTAACACATATACTATGTGACTTAGAATAAACAAAATATGTATTATCCAAATAAAGTCAGGCATTCGCGATATTTTGGTATTGAGAATTTTGATCTATTTCAGCTGGGATTTTACTGATATTTTTCTAAATATAAAATTAGTTTATTCCATTTCTAGCAATCTTAATGAAATTTATTAGCATACACTGCACAATATTTTTGTCAATTTTTAAATAAAATACAATAAATTGCATGCGCCGGAAACGGATCAAGTGTAGCTAAAAATATTAAACTTGTTACGAATGCCGACAGTATCCAAAATCGATGTAACATGTAATATAATTTCATATCAAACGTAGTCTCGATAAGATGTAATGGGAGTTCTTTAAACTTTAAACTTTTTTTATTCACCTAATTCTCTTTGCAAAATAACAGCTGCATGTTAAATAGATTTTTATTTACTTGATCTTCGTAAACTATTTCATATCACATGTTTCCGTGCGCGCGTGATTATATTCGCTCTCGCATTTATTACGAAATAAGTTAAGCACGAAGCGATATTTTACATACAAATCGTGTTCCTTGACCTCCAGACAGATGTGTTGATGATAATGTCGCTCGCGAGGGATTTTATAATCCGAAAATCGCAATTAACTACATGCACAGAGCGGAACGGCACGGTTCTCATCGCCATAAAAGAACGGAAAGCGCATGATGTATCCGCTTTTACCTAACAATCAGCACCATTGTCGCGACTTAATGAATTAACTTAACGATTAACTAATGCTATGCGATTTCTTCGTCGTTTGGCATGAGCGGATACCTTAAACGGCAGCAGATTAATTAGTATGTAGAAATATTCGGACGCACGCATTAAACTAGGAAACTACGTTAGCGTCAGCAGAGTAGGAGGTACAAAGCTATCAAAGATTTTTCCGAATCTGCGGCGCTGAATTAATCCTACAATGCGCAGCGAGGCGCGATAATACATGTGTAATTATAATTTTTAGCATTGAAAATTTTTAAGATATAATTCAATGATAATTTAAATAATCGAGTGCATTATCTCAAAATTTATGCAGTTGATATTTTGCTATGGTGAAATATCCTGCTAGCATATAAAAAAAAGATAACGCGTTGTAGGATTAATATATGATCCGCTCACGCCAAAGTGCCGGCCTATTCTATTTTGATTCGTTAGGTGGAATCTCTTCTTCTATCGTAGTTCAATATTCGCCAACAGTGGAAAAAAGATAAAAGAAAAATAAAGATTGCGCAGAGATATGTAGGAATTTACATCTAAAGACAATCAATTCGAACAAAAGATTTCCCTTAATCTTGCCATGAAAAGTTGTACCACTTTAACAAGGTCTTGTAAGAATGAGAATAAACTTTCTAAAGTATCTTTTGGTTTGAAAATGTAGGTTATTGAAGCTTACGCGTATGAAGCATGCACGAGACAATGGTGACCGAGAGTCTTCGCACGCTTCATAGATCGATGACGTAACTGGAAAACTTGGCGAACATTGTCCGAGACGATTTTACAGTTTTCTTTCTTTCAAGGAAGTCCCACCGCGCTTCCCTGAAAACTAAATCTAGTCCAGCATGGCATCTAACGTCGTCTCTTTGCGGTATCCGATCATCTGCTCGCGATAATAACGCAACAATAGCAGGACGATGAATCAGGAAGCGATGAGCTGTCACCGTCTCGATAAGTCTTTGTGTTTATATCTCGCTTCTTTATGTAAGCTTATATACTTTCTTCTCTTTATTAAATTTTTTTTCGCACTGCATCTCGATCGTCTCCTGATTCCATCGGTCCTTGCATTCCTCGTAACTCTATATTATTTCGGATAATACTGGCAACCGTTGGCAACGATGACACAACGGAGTCGTACATCAGAAAAAAAAAATCGTGGCACTTCGAAAAATGTTGTATAAGCAACGTTGATGAACGAGAATTCTCTGTCGAGGAACATTATTCTTTCCTATGGAATATAGAGTGTCCTTATGTCTATTCAAGAGACTCTATTTATCGTTCTTTCTCCCTTCAACATTCGTCGATTCTATCGCGGCCGGAAAATCGGCAACCAACGAGAATTTCTTCAGAGAACATCGACAATAGGCGGCAGTTCAATCCGATGAACGGTCTCGCCATCGAGATCATCGAATCGAACCGAGGCCGTCCAGCGTTGGTGAAATCCAGCGTTGATGCGGTATCGGATATGATGAGCTCCTCGAGATAAACGTCGTGCTACAACGTGGCAAAGCGATGAACAACGAGGGAACTATTACGACGAGGGGGCTCTCGTCGAAGAGGCTCTCGAGACGCGTGTCCTGGATACATCGGGCGGAAGCGGATCATACGGCGTTGCATTGAAGCCGACGTATCGATTGTTCTTCTTGTGAAGGAATTCGCCAGTGAGTGGATCCGTCTTGTAATAAATCACCCGTCTGATACCGAATGGATCGATGTAGCCGAACGAACCAATGTTATTGCCATCGGGCTCTCGTTCCTCCTCGTGATATTGCCTCCTTAGGTAATATTGGAAACCGTTCGCCGTGGTATAAGTGCCATCGTAAGGCGGGAAATCGGCCGAATCGCTCCGAGAAATTGGAGCATGATAGCTCGGTCTGCTAGAGGAGCCATCGATAGCGGGATCGTAGGGAGCTTCGAGAAGCTGAGTCGGTGGCCGAGCGACTGATCCGCGATAGTAAGAAGTCTGTGGTCGCTGATAAGTATTCAGGTTCTGCAATCCAGATCCAGAAGAGAAACCTGATCGATTCGAATAATAATTGTTCCCCGAAATCGATGAGTAGATCGGTCGTGGTCTGATGGTCGTCGGAGTGTAATAACCGGAAGTAATGTCATTCTCGGATAACGGTACAATGGTATTGGGATCTGGTCGTCTATAAAACATAAATTTATACGTATTTTTATATTTTTATTTTTATATTAATTTTTTTTTTTTAATTTATTTTTAGCAAATAAGTTTTACTTTAGCAAGTTATCTTGTAATACATTAAATAAACTTTGTGAGTTTTTTATTAATTTTTACCTGAAAGGATTGGGCGGTCTTCTGGGTCTGGCCAGAACTCCAGTTTGTGCCGGAACCTTCTTTGTTTCCGCCACTGCGTCCTGGATAGGTCGATCCTTACCCACATAGACCATCTTTGATCTAAAAAAATTTCAACATTCCAAATGAGTTTCGTCACCCCAATCGCAATCATTGTTATTAGTTAATTTTATTTTTCGTTAAACCTACCTTAGTATCCGGAATCCCTCGTGATCCGCGATATAATCCTTCAGTCTCAAATATCCGAGAGGGTCTAGCCAGCCTTCCGTTCCGATCACCGTGCCATCAGCCAATCTCTTTTCTTTTCTGTACTGACCGTTCGATGTCTGAAAGCGAAAGAACCTCTCCGGGCCCTCATCGGTCTGAATATGATACTGCGTGTTGGGATTTAGATTCCAGCCGCTCCTCTGGGCCTCGATCTCGTCCGCTGTCAAACACAGCGCCGAAACCTGCAACGTGAATCTGCTTAAATTGTTTCCGCGTCACATCAACCCCTCGTTATTGCTATTGATGGAAAATATAAACATCTGCTATTAGAATTTCAAGATATCCGCTCGAATATTTTGAATGAAAAATATTGAGTCAATTGATATCTATTACAATGAAAGATACAGAAGAATTTATTAGAGATTAAAAATATGTGCATAAAAATTAATTTATTTTTAGATTTGTGTATTTTTTGTAATTTTAAAAATACAACAAATATAAAAAATCACTATATTTTACACATACACAATATTTAATACATTTTTTCGAATTTTATAAAACTAAAAAGCTATGCGTGTGTGAAAGAATTCGATTATATAGTACTATAACAAATTATTCATATGATCATGATGATATCTATCTACAATGCAGAGAATAAAAATAAGAGCCAGTGTGCTAGATAGATAGTATTACAAGTTCAAATTTAATCAATAAGCCGTTTAAGGTTTACAAGCACGTACAAGCGAATCTCTAGTTAACTGACGACAAACTGTGCAAGAGACGCGAGCAGCTATACGTGAGGGTATCTCCTCGCGAACGATTAGTCAGCATCGTTTCTCAGGCATACGAGAGACCCGTCTCCCTTTTCTTCTTCACGATCTACACGGTTGCTTGTAGGCGCGGCAACATAAACTCCGTTTCGCCTGTCGGTCGTAATCACTCCATTTACGGCGTTACGACCTGTAGACGATGAACGTTTCGTTTCGAACACAGCTTCGGACCAATCAGGCTCGAAACAGCGCGTTTTACTTCGTTAAATTTTTCGCAGCATTTGATGGCATTCTCAAGCTCATGCTGCTCTGTTCATTCATGAGCATATATCACATCGCGATGGCAAAGAAGTTGCAACCACTAAAAGTTTATTTATGCGATAGCTGAATTCTTGTTATAAATTTAAGTCGCAGCTTTTGTAGGGAGGGATTTTCTGTATGTGTTGCATACGCGCGTGCATCCTTTAGAAATTGCTATTCATGCTGTTAACTTTTTTGTGTTTTTCACGGTCGGTTTAAAAGGAAATATAGATGCGATAAAAAGAGATCTCCTTGAAGCTAATTTTCTTTTTATAAAAACATAGCAAAGAGTCATGAATTCTGATTGCGAGAAAAAAATAATCCGACATGATATCCGACAATTATTAAGATGTTCGATATTGCGTATATACGCAGGACGTTTTATTCTGCATTCCATTCTGTGAAATTCAAAGATTAAGATCTGTTTTATGTGATCGATACAGATATAATCTGCAGTTTTGAGAACAAAAGAAGATTATAAGAGATAGAATCTCTGCGAACCTCTCATGACGTAATTTACCTATATATAACTTCTATATATTGTAGGGTGAACCTTTTCTTTTTCGGAGTTTGCAGTTTGCTTTTGGTCTTGAGAGAGATTACATGGAGACTTTTTCCTACTTCTATCTTCGTCAAAATTATAGGTGCTCGCAAGAAAGTATTAATTTTCATTCGAGCGGAACTATTTCTTCTTTCCAATGGTGTCAGTGAGGAAACGCCAAAGTGCCGGCCTATTCTATTTTGATTCGTTAGGTGGAATCTCTTCTTCTATCGTAGTTCAATATTCGCCAACAGTGGAAAAAAGATAAAAGAAAAATAAAGATTGCGCAGAGATATGTAGGAATTTACATCTAAAGACAATCAATTCGAACAAAAGATTTCCCTTAATCTTGCCATGAAAAGTTGTACCACTTTAACAAGGTCTTGTAAGAATGAGAATAAACTTTCTAAAGTATCTTTTGGTTTGAAAATGTAGGTTATTGAAGCTTACGCGTATGAAGCATGCACGAGACAATGGTGACCGAGAGTCTTCGCACGCTTCATAGATCGATGACGTAACTGGAAAACTTGGCGAACATTGTCCGAGACGATTTTACAGTTTTCTTTCTTTCAAGGAAGTCCCACCGCGCTTCCCTGAAAACTAAATCTAGTCCAGCATGGCATCTAACGTCGTCTCTTTGCGGTATCCGATCATCTGCTCGCGATAATAACGCAACAATAGCAGGACGATGAATCAGGAAGCGATGAGCTGTCACCGTCTCGATAAGTCTTTGTGTTTATATCTCGCTTCTTTATGTAAGCTTATATACTTTCTTCTCTTTATTAAATTTTTTTCCGCACTGCATCTCGATCGTCTCCTGATTCCATCGGTCCTTGCATTCCTCGTAACTCTATATTATTTCGGATAATACTGGCAACCGTTGGCAACGATGACACAACGGAGTCGTACATCAGAAAAAAAAAATCGTGGCACTTCGAAAAATGTTGTATAAGCAACGTTGATGAACGAGAATTCTCTGTCGAGGAACATTATTCTTTCCTATGGAATATAGAGTGTCCTTATGTCTATTCAAGAGACTCTATTTATCGTTCTTTCTCCCTTCAACATTCGTCGATTCTATCGCGGCCGGAAAATCGGCAACCAACGAGAATTTCTTCAGAGAACATCGACAATAGGCGGCAGTTCAATCCGATGAACGGTCTCGCCATCGAGATCATCGAATCGAACCGAGGCCGTCCAGCGTTGGTGAAATCCAGCGTTGATGCGGTATCGGATATGATGAGCTCCTCGAGATAAACGTCGTGCTACAACGTGGCAAAGCGATGAACAACGAGGGAACTATTACGACGAGGGGGCTCTCGTCGAAGAGGCTCTCGAGACGCGTGTCCTGGATACATCGGGCGGAAGCGGATCATACGGCGTTGCATTGAAGCCGACGTATCGATTGTTCTTCTTGTGAAGGAATTCGCCAGTGAGTGGATCCGTCTTGTAATAAATCACCCGTCTGATACCGAATGGATCGATGTAGCCGAACGAACCAATGTTATTGCCATCGGGCTCTCGTTCCTCCTCGTGATATTGCCTCCTTAGGTAATATTGGAAACCGTTCGCCGTGGTATAAGTGCCATCGTAAGGCGGGAAATCGGCCGAATCGCTCCGAGAAATTGGAGCATGATAGCTCGGTCTGCTAGAGGAGCCATCGATAGCGGGATCGTAGGGAGCTTCGAGAAGCTGAGTCGGTGGCCGAGCGACTGATCCGCGATAGTAAGAAGTCTGTGGTCGCTGATAAGTATTCAGGTTCTGCAATCCAGATCCAGAAGAGAAACCTGATCGATTCGAATAATAATTGTTCCCCGAAATCGATGAGTAGATCGGTCGTGGTCTGATGGTCGTCGGAGTGTAATAACCGGAAGTAATGTCATTCTCGGATAACGGTACAATGGTATTGGGATCTGGTCGTCTATAAAACATAAATTTATACGTATTTTTATATTTTTATTTTTATATTAATTTTTTTTTTTTAATTTATTTTTAGCAAATAAGTTTTACTTTAGCAAGTTATCTTGTAATACATTAAATAAACTTTGTGAGTTTTTTATTAATTTTTACCTGAAAGGATTGGGCGGTCTTCTGGGTCTGGCCAGAACTCCAGTTTGTGCCGGAACCTTCTTTGTTTCCGCCACTGCGTCCTGGATAGGTCGATCCTTACCCACATAGACCATCTTTGATCTAAAAAAATTTCAACATTCCAAATGAGTTTCGTCACCCCAATCGCAATCATTGTTATTAGTTAATTTTATTTTTCGTTAAACCTACCTTAGTATCCGGAATCCCTCGTGATCCGCGATATAATCCTTCAGTCTCAAATATCCGAGAGGGTCTAGCCAGCCTTCCGTTCCGATCACCGTGCCATCAGCCAATCTCTTTTCTTTTCTGTACTGACCGTTCGATGTCTGAAAGCGAAAGAACCTCTCCGGGCCCTCATCGGTCTGAATATGATACTGCGTGTTGGGATTTAGATTCCAGCCGCTCCTCTGGGCCTCGATCTCGTCCGCTGTCAAACACAGCGCCGAAACCTGCAACGTGAATCTGCTTAAATTGTTTCCGCGTCACATCAACCCCTCGTTATTGCTATTGATGGAAAATATAAACATCTGCTATTAGAATTTCAAGATATCCGCTCGAATATTTTGAATGAAAAATATTGAGTCAATTGATATCTATTACAATGAAAGATACAGAAGAATTTATTAGAGATTAAAAATATGTGCATAAAAATTAATTTATTTTTAGATTTGTGTATTTTTTGTAATTTTAAAAATACAACAAATATAAAAAATCACTATATTTTACACATACACAATATTTAATACATTTTTTCGAATTTTATAAAACTAAAAAGCTATGCGTGTGTGAAAGAATTCGATTATATAGTACTATAACAAATTATTCATATGATCATGATGATATCTATCTACAATGCAGAGAATAAAAATAAGAGCCAGTGTGCTAGATAGATAGTATTACAAGTTCAAATTTAATCAATAAGCCGTTTAAGGTTTACAAGCACGTACAAGCGAATCTCTAGTTAACTGACGACAAACTGTGCAAGAGACGCGAGCAGCTATACGTGAGGGTATCTCCTCGCGAACGATTAGTCAGCATCGTTTCTCAGGCATACGAGAGACCCGTCTCCCTTTTCTTCTTCACGATCTACACGGTTGCTTGTAGGCGCGGCAACATAAACTCCGTTTCGCCTGTCGGTCGTAATCACTCCATTTACGGCGTTACGACCTGTAGACGATGAACGTTTCGTTTCGAACACAGCTTCGGACCAATCAGGCTCGAAACAGCGCGTTTTACTTCGTTAAATTTTTCGCAGCATTTGATGGCATTCTCAAGCTCATGCTGCTCTGTTCATTCATGAGCATATATCACATCGCGATGGCAAAGAAGTTGCAACCACTAAAAGTTTATTTATGCGATAGCTGAATTCTTGTTATAAATTTAAGTCGCAGCTTTTGTAGGGAGGGATTTTCTGTATGTGTTGCATACGCGCGTGCATCCTTTAGAAATTGCTATTCATGCTGTTAACTTTTTTGTGTTTTTCACGGTCGGTTTAAAAGGAAATATAGATGCGATAAAAAGAGATCTCCTTGAAGCTAATTTTCTTTTTATAAAAACATAGCAAAGAGTCATGAATTCTGATTGCGAGAAAAAAATAATCCGACATGATATCCGACAATTATTAAGATAACCGACAATAAATTTAGCACTCGAAAAAAAAAAAGAAAGACTACTCTAATTGTGCAGATAATTAATTAAAGATGGAACAAATTAACGAGAATCTCGGTTGATTGCTTTGACTTGTCTGAGATAATTAAGCTGACATTGACATTTTATAAGTTTAATTTACACAATGCTGTTGATCTTACAGCAGTATAACACAAAATATATGTATATCTAAAAAAATTATTTCAAATAAATAAGTAAAATATTTTAAGAAATAAAATAAATTGGCGCTAATAATTAGAAAGTATAATAATCTCAAAACTCTGTGCACATTTTATTTCTTAACTTATTATTTGTTACACTGTGTCATGCTTTATTATAAAAGCTATCTTTTTGATTTCTAAATAGGATTTTACAAGTTAATATATATTTTCTTTTTATTGTCATTTATTTTAACATCTTTCATATATTTAATATCGTTAAAGTTGTGTTCATTTACTTGTAATGCATTCTAGCACATTGTAAGAAGCATTTGAAATCTCGAAAGTATTTTTCGCGCTCATGGTATGCAGCATCATCGTTGGTGGCATCTTGTCGCGATCCAACTGCATCGCATACAATCGTAATATTACTGGTCGTAATCGTAGATTATGTCGCATGGTATGCGCGATCTTGTTTGCGATCTTACTTGACATTCGAGGAGCGTCGGTGTTTCATGAACGCGCTTTCGCGACCTTCGAGCGAACGCGCGCGCTAATTGATATTCGGAGTGCGCGATATTAATTACCTTCGTGTGGTTTTGATATTTACGGTACAAGGATCGATGAGCAATCCTAACTCTTTTCAAACGCGAATATCTCATATAGTTCTCATCTTGGCATCGATTTTGTAACTCATTTCTTATAACTCATGTTTTATAACTCATGTTTTATAACTCATTTTTTATAACTCATTTTATAATTCAATTTTATAACTCATTTGTAACACATATATACAGTTAGTAATATATTTTACACAAAGGCTTTAATACTCGAACTATTTAATATTGTCTCTCTTCTTAATATTTAAGATCAGAATGTGCTCCCAATTTTATTTAAATATAAATGTTTTTTTATTAGTCTTTATTAGATTACATATAAATAGTAGATAAAATTAAAAATTATGAATTCCAAGTTTTGTATAGTTTAAAAAAATGTGTTTTATAATTCATTAGATTATTTAAATTACATTGAATAATAATATTAAATTATTTCTGATAATTATAATATCTTCATTAATTACAATATACGATATTCTAAGAATCGTGCCGCGATAAGATAATCATTCATAATTAACAATAAAAAGGAAATATGTTGGAATAAAAATTCTTTAAGATTGCTGCGCTAAAGAATATCATGCTTAATTAAATCAGATGAGATTTCTTTAACAAGCTAATTACTAATATCTAAAATCTTATTTTCTCACAGCCTTTTCATTAATATCTATTCAATGAAAATTTTAAGAAAAAGTTATTTTTATTTGTTGGTTTGGAAAGTAGTTGTCATTATTCTCATTCTCATAAAATTCAATAGCTTTTTTTCTTGTATGTAAGCTGGCATTAACAGCCTATGTATAATATCTTACTTCAGATTTAGCAATTAATGTTTTGATTTTTGTAGTATATTAATATTTAAAATGCATTTCTCATGTTAAATAAATATGTCAAAAATTAGCGAGGAAATATAACAATTGTAATAAAACTAAAATGTGTGACAAAACTATAATTAAATACATTAATTGAATATCGAGATACTGTTAGAAATAGACTGATCTTACTGATCGATTTCAATTTAAATTGCATTGTTTGTCACGCATGCATTTTTATTTGCATACCATCCGACCACACGACCAGAGGAGAGAACGTCCTCTTCTGTTACACTTCTATTCACGCGATCTTCACGGTATACGAGCTCGTGCATCGAACTCTCTCGGAGTAAGAATAGAGCCGGGTGCCTCTTTCACAAACGCATTCTCGACGTCGACTTTCATGAACGCGTACCACAAATCACAGGTGTCAGTTTTGATCGGGCGTACGTTTCGCGCGAAGATGTGAATATACGCGTGATAAATTGCGCTCGATGAGTGTGCGGAACAATCGGCAGTAAACCGACACGAGTGCTTACGCAAATGAGCTCGAACCGTCATCGTTAAATATATGTAAAGTATCATACGTTCTCTTGACAATGTAAGAACGTAAACACTTTCAATTTTTATCGCGCGTTCTAAAGTTGCAATATTATTGTTAAATTTAAAACATAGAATTAAACAATATTTATAACTCATAAGACTATATTAGATAAGTTTTATTAAAAATATTAATATATATTTAAATTCTTCAAAATCTTGGAAACACATAAGCTGTTCTAATTCTGTTACTTTCTCAATACTAATAGAATAGATAGAAGGGAAGAGAGATCTATTCGTATTAATATACTTTTTACAACAATTTTATAAGAAATGATTCGATCAGCATTGTATATTAAATTAAAATTAAATTTGTAATTATACGCTAATCGAATCTTTCTCAGCTTTCCCATGCGAAATTAGCACACGCGCGATATTTTATTAATAATATCACTTTACAAAGTTTATCTTCTTGAAATAATTTTGAAAATAGCGAGATTACATAGTCTCTCTTTTGTCGGTTCATTTGCCAGTTATTACTGGATGATCTAAGAAACCGCGTATAATCATCAGCTCGCGACCAACGTTTTACTCGGTTGAGGATCTTGGAGTAGCGTCAATGTAAATTTCAATGTCAATGTGAATTAAACGTTTGTAGCTTGCAGATGAACGAAAAGGTCAGCAACCTGACTTCAGAAATATCTCTACTAAATTAAATGTCAATATTGATTTCATTTTTATTAATCGTCGATTTAATTCGTCATTACGAATTATTGATTTATTATAAATATAAGCAAACATGAAAATTAACAAAATATATACAATAATTTATTCTATAATATCAAATTAATTATTATTAGTTAAATATTTGCCAAATAAAATTAATGTTATACATGATATCCGACAATTATTAAGATCAAATAACTTTTTTTTATCACGTAGTGCAAATTACTTTTACAACGTCATACCGACATAACAATTAAAACAATACGTGTCGTGTATCGCGTCTCGGTTTATGCAAAAATAAAATTCCCACGTTTAAAATCATGTTTCATTCTTGCATGTCGTCATCAAAGAGTCATGAATTCTGATTGCGAGAAAAAAATAATCCGACATGATATCCGACAATTATTAAGATCAAATAACTTTTTTTTATCACGTAGTGCAAATTACTTTTACAACGACATTATGTCATACCGACATAACAATTAAAACAATACGTGTCTTGTATCGCGTCTCGGTTTATGCAAAAATAAAATTCCCACGTTTAAAATCATGTTTCATTCTTGCATGTCGTCATCATAAAAAGCTCGAAATCCGTAGACCGGTCCACGATTCAAATTATTCGCGCCTTCTTGTTTCGAGAATAAAATAGAAAGTCGGTAAAAAGTCGAAACGTAACGAATCCTCATTTTACGCAGCGATATCTTGGACCTGAACCTATTCGCTGCGCGTTTGGTCAGAAGATATACGCTACAATGTACCACAATAATTCCGACTACGCAGAGAATGCAGCGCCTTTTATATCGTAATATCTTTCATAGCGGAGAACATTGCGCGTAAACACAGTGGTCACGTAAGAGATACTTATCCCTTCTATCGCGGATTTTGCGTGGGATTGACCAAGACCGCGAGGTCCACCTCTCGTCGGTCCATATTAAGAGATGCCGGGTCGACTGAGCGTAGGGCCGGAAAATAAATATTACGCATCAAGGGGTATTCTCTCTCCGTGGAATATATACGTAACTATATCTCTAGAGGAATGAAGAATAGCAGAAATATTTGCAAAAGTGTGAAAAAAGAAATAGAACTTTCTCTCGAGATATCTGTAGATAATTTTTCTCAAAAATATTTCTTTTAAATTTAAAAAGTTTTAGATATCACACACGCAATATATTGAAATTTTTAAATATGTAAAATATTAAGTAAATATTTACAAGCTGGACTACATGCTGGAATAAGATTAGATTTCTCTTAATCGACAATCAATTTCACAGATTCCTTCGCGAATGTGGTTTTATTTTATGGGACATGGTGTAGAGAGTCAAGGTATGCCACAATTGACCTTGGACCTTCCCATGTACCACACGTGTACTTGATACTCATCATGTTACTGCATCTCTTTGCTGGAAAGAATTCGCACTCGAGATTGCTTTGGCATCCTTGAAACTGGTTCACGGTGTTATTGCTGCGAGGCACTTTAACTTGAAAAATGATAGTTGTTGTAGGAGTCAGATTCAATGTTAAGTCGACATCCTTGAAACATGCATCCCTGGGAGAATCACGATTTTGTTTTTGTATAAACAAGGTTCTGGTGAAGCCCTATGGCTAAGCATCTTCGATCTACGTAAAATTAATTGCCTTGATATTTTATTTATGGACGTAAATCTCTTCGAAAGATACTTTGTGTCGACAGATTTTATCGATTCTATTAGTTCGATATTGCGTGTATACGCAGGACGTTTTATTCTGCATTCCATTCTGTGAAATTCAAAGATTAAGATCTGTTTCATTTTTTAATAATCATATAAAATAATTAATGTATTATATAAAATAATTATGTTAAATTTTTAATATTACGTGCTTTTCAAATGGAATATAGAGAAAAGTCGTAATAGAATGCCCTACTTCTACACGTATGACGAATTGCTATAAATCCGCTTCGACTGCAACGGCATGCTTTTGAGTTAATAAATATCAAACGGATCTTTTCGCGAGAAAGCGTAGAGCTTGTAAAAACAGTTATCAAGCGTTTTTGCCGGAGAGACGTAGAGGCGCAGATGTTATCGAGGAAGTCGTGCGATAGAGTTATAAATAAAGTAAATAAAATTTCCTCTGCGAAATTAATGCAAAATTATCTCTTCGAAAATTTCACCGTGATTCGAATAAATGATTTCTAATATGATGTGAAATCCGGTTCTGTCACGGATACTCCGTTTCCTATCGTTAGAGTGAATGGTACCATGTTAGAGATACAAACGACGTAAATGAATAGCATCTGATGCTCTATACACGATGCGTGACACTTTTAATATAGCTTATGTTATATTTACTATTTTGTAAATATCGTAAGAGAAACCAAAAAGTACATGTGAATGTGTGTGTGTAAGGTATCCCGAAGCGACATCGAGAAAGCTGTAAAGTATTACATAAAAATTGTGTGGGATGGAAAGATGTAATACATAAGCGCTAGAAGAAATAATTATTACGTTAGTGAAATATTGCATCGTTTTTTTAATAAATCTGCTGTCATGCGCTTTCATTACATAGCGTTACAAAATAGCAAAAAAGATCGAAATACGGGAAAAAGGATTATAATAAAAAGACTAAAATAATTAATCTACAGCTTTTATAATCGATTATAAAAAGATGCCAAGAAAAGAACGTCATCGGGCACGTTTCTCTCTTTCATCATCGGTGAATCGAAACTCCGCACGTCCTATCGCCTGCTACTTTTAAAAACGTCTTGTTGCCAGGATAGAGCCGCTAAAAGCGCGCGACAAGATCGCTCTCGCGATTGTCCGAGGCGTGTGGGAGTGTGCCCCATTCGCGTCCCTTCGGAACAAAGGCTTGAAAAGAGCGAATGGTCTTTTGATCAGAATCTTTTCTTGCTTTTTTACACTAGACGAATAAAACAATATTTTAGGGATTTTATTTTTGTCAAATTTAGAATCGATTTGCTCTCTTAACGCTGTTATTGTCATTTACGTGTAAATTTTCTATATTCTTGTTCAATATCAAAGTTTCCTTGGAAAATTCAAAGAAAAATATAATTCTATCGTTTATTTTTATATCGCTGAAAAAACAAAATATTATTTTTCATCTTTCTTTTTTCCAATTCTAAAGATTAGTATTTGATAGAATTTTTATATTTTAATTATCAAAGTACTAACAATAAAAATCAAAAAGCTGCGAAAGAAAAAATTAAAGGAAGATTAATTTTAAATTGATGAAAAAAAAATCTGTGAAATTTCTTTCCAATCGCCAACATATTCAGAGTCGTTTTAATTCCGACTTCAATTTAAAAAAAAAAAAGCTATGCTCATCGATATTGAGATCACTCTACCATGCACGCAAACCTGATTCGCGTTCTACCTTTGATCTGACAGTCGAGTGAGTCTACTGTGTATTTTCTCCTTCGCTTGCCACGCTTACGACGCGGTGCTTTCACTTTTACGAGCCAAGCCGAGAGCAGAGGCGATTGGATAGGCGTCGGCTTATGCGTGTGAATCTAAATATTTATTTTTTATATTTTTTAATTTAATATCTAAAAATATTATATTTTGTTAAACAATGTTTATAAAAACATATTAATTTTCTTTTATTTAAATAGATCTAAATTATTATATGTTTACATGAAAATGATCGAGTGTTAAATGATAAAAATGATTGATACGTGAATTATTGTTCAGCAATTAAAAAGAGCTTCGCTCATGCGAAACTTGCGGGAATGGAACGTAATAGAGCGCACATAGTTTTGCATTCTGCACGCAATGCAACAATTCGCACAGAGGAACGTCGACGAAATAGAATTCTCACGACCGCTACATATGCACAATCTTACGGCAGGAAATTGATAAAATCATATACTCGTAATCTTGATGCGTATGAGCGATACCGTCTGACATTGCGCGTATCCGCCACCCGACACCCTTGTGTTTCTATGCGAGGCGTTTCCTCATTTTGTCCCTAGTTTCATTTATTTTATCGGGTCAACATCGCCATTACGTAGGCGAAAAAACTTTAATATTCCTAAATTGACGTTTTTATTCAGCATTAATAATCAAGCATATTATTATACTGATAATGAAGCACTTATGAGCATGAATCTCAGACATTAATTGCATTGTTATGCGTGTGCGTGTGTGATAATCATTTTTGATAGCGAAATTTCGAGATTGTTGACAGCTCAAAATTAGTACCACAGCATACGTATGCAAATTGTTTCCGCGATTATCTCTCTGTAATAGAATCATGTCCCATTTAAGAATAAGTTTTTATTTATTAGTTTTTAAAGAATAAGTTAAAAATGAGTTTGAGCATTATTAAAAACATCATGTACTCTCGTGGTTAAAACTGAAGAGAATGCAGCTTAGATCACAAAATAATACAGTAAATAAATTTAAAAATATTGTGTATATTGAGACAATATTTAGTGATATATTGCAATTGAAAAATATTGTTATTATTAATTAATTATTAATTATTTAACTGCAAAAATAAATTAGATATAATTATAATTTTTAGAGAATTTATACGTTTATATCAAAGAAAGAATTAGAACAGTGGCTATTGAAAAATGCATTAATATTAGAAAATATTGTTTGCTATGACATATTATTGCAAAAGGAAAAAAATACAAGATATGTTGACTTTCAAAAGTGCAATGATTAAAGTCATATCGGCTTTGATAACAAACTCGTTACCAAAGACAGCAAGATGAGACTCACCACAAACGGCAAGACGGAGACGAATCTCCGCCGCATCCTGGCCCGATAACTTCAACAACAGATAAAGAGAGACCCGATAAATTGAGCTTTAAATTTTGCGCGAATTACGAGAGATTGTGGACGATCTTGCCGTGCTTAATCGTGCTCGATCACTGATCGAAACGAAGCCTACCAAGCCGAAGTCAGATTGTACTTGCGGCCTACACATGAAACGATCCAAGGCTCCGTAGTTGGCAGAGTAGGCTGGACCCACGCAATTTTCCTTTACGAATGTCTGCTTGGCCATGTCGAGGATTTCGATGGATAAACAATCAATGCTGATTCCGTGCGACTTGTCATTTTTATTCACATACATAGAATAACGCATTTCTCTTTTCCTCAAAGTATCCTAAAATAAATTATAAAGAAAAGAAACTATTGACAATAGTATTCTAATTTTTTAAGCATTTTATGAAAGAATAAAATATTTTTTAAATATGTAACGTTTTCTATTAAAAAAATAAAAATGACAAAGCGATCTAATGAAGATATTGATATAGATATGAATAATTATATTTTATGATACTAACGAGATGTATATAACGTGATATGTGTAATGCAAAATCTTAACAAATCGCGAACCATTAGACGATTTTCCCATGGTAGATTTCGAATTTTAGCTCCGTATTGCACAAAGAACGTAATTTCTGCAACATCTGAATGGAGAGAAGTAATACTTCGTCTCGTACTTTTTCTTGGCTTCAGAGTGAGGAAACAAATCCGCATTCAGTCGATGTTGATTAACAAGAATTCAGGAATAGAGCGTCTGAAGAACAACAATAGCGCGAAGTTTTACGAAAAGTCGGAAATGTTTCCTGTGCATTGCACACACGTGACAACGAAATTGCAGGGCGGAAAAATGTAGCATAATGATTGCTTTCGTGATCATTCTACGTGAACGCAGCAAACCACTAAGTTGGTGCTTAAGCGCCAGTCGATGACCGTGCTTCAAATATTCAAGAATCATAGATATATTTTATATCAATATATGATATGTATTTCATATATTATATATATATATATATATATATATATATAGCAAATTTTATAAGGTTGACGCTTGTTAGGCTGTTAAATAAATAAATTAAAACAAAACAAAAAATAATAAAAGCTTACATTTTTTTAAAACAATTAGGACACTATAAGCGCGCGTCATTTATTTTATGTGTATGTGTATATAATTATTTACATATATTAACTCTAGTTCTCCGTTTTTTCAAAATAAAAATTGTGTGTAATTTTAAATAAAAATTACACACACATTTAATATTTGAACTGTCAAATGCTGCACACACGTGACAACGAAATTGCAGGGCGGAAAAATGTAGCATAATGATTGCTTTCGTGATCATTCTACGTGAACGCAGCAAACCACTAAGTTGGTGCTTAAGCGCCAGTCGATGACCGTGCTTCAAATATTCAAGAATCATAGATATATTTTATATCAATATATGATATGTATTTCATATATTATATATATATATATATATATATATATATAGCAAATTTTATAAGGTTGACGCTTGTTAGGCTGTTAAATAAATAAATTAAAACAAAACAAAAAATAATAAAAGCTTACATTTTTTTAAAACAATTAGGACACTATAAGCGCGCGTCATTTATTTTATGTGTATGTGTATATAATTATTTACATATATTAACTCTAGTTCTCCGTTTTTTCAAAATAAAAATTGTGTGTAATTTTAAATAAAAATTACACACACATTTAATATTTGAACTGTCAAATGCGTCACTCAGTTATGACAGACTTTTATTCATATAAAGTAATGCACAGCGCAGCGTCGAGATAAACCAATCAACATTGCAGAAAAGAGGTAACAATATTTGCGAGTATCGATTTAATCTTTTTAAAAGTAGATATCTCAATGAAAGCTGCTTACAGCATATTATTAGAATATTATATGTGTGTGTGTTATATATAAAATCTTATAAAATGCGCCATTTAGTTTTCATAAATGATAATAGACAAAAATGATTAAAAATATCTCGATATTTCTTGCAATATTGGAGCGTAAGAATATTAAGAGTTTCTTATATCTTGTGGGATGCTATTAAGAACTCTAAAGAAAAAATTGGAATTGTGAAAAAATTTATCTTTAAAATATATAAAATTAATTTAAAATATATTTACGTATCACGATTCTGTTATCATTCGCGCAACAACATTTGAGCAGGAAAGTAGTGCGAGACGCTCCATCGAACTACTTCTCTAAACGCGATCGCGATCAGTATCGGGAAATATTTGATTTTTCGATCTAGATATAATTTGGATTAAGAATGTGCTAAACTGTTGAATCGCAAAATCGGATAATTAATATAATGATAAGTTCCGTGATACATTAATCGTTTAATAAATAATTGATCTATAATTTAAAATACTTACATAATTTAATATTTTGCATATCTATTTAATAGTACGTAAAATATTTCGACAGCGAGTTAGGATAATATCTAACTAGTATTTGGTCTTGGCAGCGTAAACATTAGCGCGCTATTGTTACGACTTCGTTATTATTCATACGGAGACACTTAAATAGAACTGTAGTGGGGCGAGTTCCTCCATCAAATTCGTTTCCTAAACGCGATCGCGACAAGTATCAAAAGATAATTTGATAAAATTAATATCTACTTATCTTTTACATATATTACCACGATAAGAAATAACTATTTCTTCAAAAATAAAATTTAAAATTAAATATTTTTTCGACGCTTTATTGTTTGACTTTTAACAGCATCTAAATATGATTCGGATTAAAATCGTGCAATTAAACAATTGATTCGCAAAATCGAGTAATTAACACAAGACTTCGTCGAATTTCAATCAATTAATTTTGATTGATAATTTGGCATTATATTAAAGGCATTAATTAAAGTAAAATTATATTAAAACGATGCATGACAAACGGTCGTAATATCTCACGATCGTAAACGAGCGTAAAATTACGCTTATGCACCGGCGATAATAATTAGCCGGCAACGGAGGGAACTAGATGTAGCCAGAATGAACATGGCCAGGATCAACGAAAGGTAGGTTCAACTGGCCCAACGGAAGCAACTTAGTTGACCAATATTGTGGTCAAAAGGCGCAAAAATACACATGTTGGACGATACATGTGTTTGCGCATTTCTACGTGCAATGGCACGTAATCAAGAATGCTACCGGTGCATTCTATTAGAGCACGTATGTAGGACACGTAAGTAGGGTACGCGAATAGGGCACGCGAGTAGGGCACGCGAGTAGGGCACGCGATTAAAACAAACTCCCCCAAATTTCAGTGATCCCGGATTCTCGCTGGCTTAGCCAGCAAAAGTAAGGTTGTTAGGACTTGTAGGACTATCTTAACTTAAGATAGTCATTTAATCCTTTAATCATTTAATTCTTTAAGATTTTTAGAAAAACTAAGAAGTAGGATTCTTTTTAGAAAAACTAAAAAGTGAAAATTGATTATAAAAAAATTGTAGAAAAATTAAAATTATTAACTTTTCTACCATTTAAATTAAACATTAAATAGGGGAAAAATTAAAACTAATTACAAAAAATTAAAAAAATTACATATACCTTCAGTTTTTCAAGCAATTTCAAATTTGCAATCAATTTGCCTGTTTCTATTAACTTTTTTGATACAAAAAATTATAGTTACGAACAAATATATTTTATTAATTAATTTTAATATAATTTTCAACCTTTTTTTAAAAAAATATTTCTAGGTGCTGAGGATAGAAAGATTATTTCTTGGTTTCTTTTAAGAAATCATTTGTAGATATTAAACATCTCGCCATTCTAGGATAGTATTCTGGATAGTTTTTAGATATATCATTTTATATATATAATAAAATACATGCGCAGATACACATATTGTTTCCAAAAACTTTTATACTTTTTTTATATATTATGTTACAAAATACATATTATCTATGAATGTAATGTAAAATGTGCGTATACTTTGAAACTTCGAGACAAATCGAATGGGTACCTCGATATCAGTGAAATATCGACAAATTAATGTATTTAAATGCTACAGAAAAAGATTAATTATAGCCTAGAATTATTATAATTATGCTTGATATTATGTTATGTGTGTTGCAAAGTATTCAAATTAAATTTTTTAAAATTTCGCTGTTATCGGGTTCGATTCGTCTCGAGCAGTTGGTACCCGAGAATTATTTGTACTCGTACATTTAACACTAGCTACGATAACGCAATGCATGTATTTTATTATAAATATAGTCGTTCGTAACCACATTTTCATAAAAATTGTTATATCCATTTAATTTTCAATGAAGAGATATATTTCTTAATAATGGAAGAACACATTTTCTCGCGCAAATTTCAATTTCATGAATTAAAGATAATGACAATGGTAACAGTCATTGATTCGTTACCGAAATCATTGCTATCAGAAGTAGTCTGGAAGATCCGGGATTCGTTCCCTCCTACAGCGGGGCTCCTGATATTTAATGGATCACTTAACTTTTCTTTGCGGATTGATCTTACGGGGTCCGATGTAGAACCAAGAAGTTCATCGTTCTCCACCCTTAAGATTGTTCTTGTCTTTATCGGATATTAACCGGCGTTTTATCTGGCAGAGGGATCTTGATCTGGTCAAATAGTTGGGCCAGTTATCCTCCATTGAATACGGCGATAACGTAATGTTTTTATAACGGTATCTTAAAATTTATAAGATTTTATCTTCTTTAGCCAATCTTCCGCGAAACGGTACATATATTTTTATTCTCAATCGCGAAATTTGTATAAAATCACGTATTTGAAAATAAATCGGGCATTAGGTTCTATCTTCACAAATGTCCTATTAAAGACGCGATTATAAAAAGCGTTTCAAATGTCCGTCGAAACATTTTCGTATATAATAATTATATCGTTCCTCTGATTGTTTCAAAAATTACATGTACATACATTGGAATTGAATATTATGGCTATTGTCGATTTGTTTGTTCGTCGCGTTTTTTTCTCAAATTTTAAATTGCGTTTTATCTTGTGATTTAATCGTTAATTTACATCGAAGCTTCGTCTACCTTTTCTCGAATATTTTTTTTGGAAATCTACGCAAAATGCGTCAGTAGACCTTT